AGACGTCTCTGGCCTTGATTTTTCTCTTGTGCGGCGGCTATAAAGAAGGGAGGAAGCAGGATTTACACGTCATCAAGACCTTAGCTTTAATTCTCCTTTTCTACTTTTTGTCAGACGCTTTCCGTCGTTTCTTTTTGGTTTTTTCTTCGGCAGCAAATTAGATAGCTAGATTGACATTGAATCAAAAACAGTAGCTTTAGTTTTCTTTTTCCCAGGCGCTAGACGTCGCTTTCCTCTTCTGACTTTCAACTTTTCCGCTGGACAATTCATTCGTAGCTTTGGCTTTGTAATTGGGACTCCGAAGCAGGGACGAAGGCAGGGCCTTTTCGGTTGTTATTGCAGTTAAGTTCCCTTTCCCAATTCCTTGGCAAATAATTAAATGAATTCAATTAAATCACGCGGGATTGAAACGATGAGAAGCGGCTAATTTCCCCCTCTACCCAAAAGGTTGACGCAAGGGCGCGGTCCATAATATCTGTGAGATCTAATCAAGCTTTCATTATTTCCTCCAATTTTGTTGCTATTCGTGCGTTTCCTGAATTAATTGTTCATGGGTATTTGATTAATTGAATATCAACGGCCGGGTATTTGATTTAATTTAATAGCCTACTGCCACGTTAATTAAATAGAATCCGTAATTGTTCATTTAATTGACACCCCGTGGCAACCACCATAATTGGTTTTATGATGGGAAAACGCAGGATCTAACTTAAATAAACCCTCTTAGCGCGTTTATTGGTTAGGGTTGGGTTCTTCTAGCTTTAATGCAATTGGGTAATTAAATTCCTACGGTCGTACCTAGGGTTGTTATCTGGTTAGGGAAGCAGTCAATGGTCGTACCTTGACTGTCGAAAAGGTAAGGAAGAACTGGTTGTCAGAGCTTATTGATAACTATAACCAACATAGTGATAAATGGATGAAATATCTTTGCATCGATGATCATTTAATTGGACCGTGCCTGCGCAGTTGATCCTTTGGGTAGAACTTTTGTTAATTGCTATTTTCAGTGAATTGTGCTTTGTGAGTTAGTTTTGAATTTTGTTTGTTTTATTTTATTTTATTTTTATTTGCCTCCCATTGAAAATCCCCCAATTTCGTTCTACTAATTTGGAAAGAAATAATTTCCTACCTGCTCCCTGTGGAATCGACCCTACTTGCCATTGTACGCAAAATTAGTATTTTTATAGACAAATCCGGTATATCGGATCAAGCAAACTCTTCGGGAACAGGGTGAATCAAGTAACCCATTGCACACCTAGGGTCCCTGCTCCAGTACTTGGATTTGTTCTATAATTATTTAATTGAGGTGGTAATTAGGACTTTTTAGTAATTATTATTGCACAGGTTCGGCACCTGTCAGATAGATATAGTTGTCATTTTCCTGCTATTGGTTTTAATACTTCACTTTCCAATTCAATACCAAATTGATATCATTTGATCATGGTGGCAGCATCAGTTTTGCTTTAAACTGTCAGAAGAACTTGGTAGTTGTTTATCTTGGCACATAAACTGAAAAAGATTTGACTGGCATTTGGGATGTGATGGTTCCTAAAGCCGTTGATTCCTTGTTTACTATAGAAGGGTAGATGAGCTTAAAGAACTTCATTTACTTAGCTGGAAGAGCAGAAAGAGTAGAGAAGTAGAAAAGCTTAAGAAGTGCTCATAAGAAAACAATTTTGATCATAGTAATATTAGTGTACTTCAAATGTTATATTTGTTCGTATTGATTTATTTTTTACCAGAATTACAAAAGCTAATTCTTAAGGCAAATATTGGAATCTAAAAATCATGCTTTGTGTTGGCTTGTCAAACCAGCAAAAATAAAAGTTCCTACTCTAATAATATGGATTTGACTGTAGCGGTGAGTAGGGTCGTATCCACAGGGACTGGGTAATTTATTTCTTTGTGAAAAATAGGGGATTAGGAGAAATTAGCTAAATAGCTCACGTGAATAAAAATAAAGACAATATCACAAAATTAAATAAAACTAAACCAATGAAAGACAATACTCTAGTCGAAGGTCTAATTTCCACTTTGGTTCATTTAACTGATCATCGATGCAAAGGTGAAATCACTTATTCATGAATAAACTGGTTATGGTCGTCAACACGCTCTGACAACCTGCCTCGTCTTACTGTTTCGATAACCACAACACGCTCTGTGGCTATTTCTCTTGCCAATTAAGCAACCCTAAACAAGCTCTTAGGATTTAACCTATTGACAGCATTAATAATTAGAGAAGCTACCAATTCTAACCAACAAACACACAAGCTCGGTTCATTTAAGTTAGATTATATATTCCCGTGACATAGATTCGAAAGTCTCTTTTACAATCAAATTACATCACGCGCCACAGATACTAAAACCATCAAACAATTACGGATTTGATATTTTAGATGGCAATAGACTATTTCAACAATTAAATATTGTTCAGGTATTTAACTGTAGAAAATAATCATAAACATGGATGACAGAGAATATATAAATACTCAGAAATAGATGAAGCAAATAAATCAAATTAGATCTCACAGAATTGTCGAACCAAAGCTTCAATTATCCTTCAACTAGAAAAGAGATTAGCCACTCCTCATGATAGATTCGCGGCCGTAAGGAATATTAGGGTTTATTGTAGAGAAAAAGAGGAAAAGAATAAGAGCCAGTGGAAGCCCCCCTGCCCACGTCTGTTTTCTCCCCTATTAATAGGGGATGGGCTCCTCTTTCCTTCTAAGACTCCCAGTTCCCCTAAACTAACCAACTAAGACCTTTTAATTGGTTTCCCAAAATAATTACATCGAATCATGGCCCCTCAAGGTCTCCAATCCGTGGCTAATGTGTCAGCCTATGGGATGCAACCGGCTCTTTGACCAATTGATAGATTTATCTTGTGTCTTGCAAACTTTTGACTGCTTTATCAAATAAGGCGTGGGCATGCTTTATAACGAAAGCTCTTCTGGACATGGACCTTTAGAAGCACCACTTCGAGTTTGACAAAGCATGGGCACGCTTTACAAGACGTCTTCTGCAAAGTCGACTTTTAACGCGTCTTTTACTTCATTCTCACTAACAACTCCTACAAACAGTACCGAAATTCAAATATGAGTGAAATATATCGATTAACGCCATATTTTAGCAAAACAAAGGGGATAATATGTACCAATTATATGCACAATTAGCCACTTAACAAATTCCCCCACACCTAAACAATGCTTGCTCTCAAGCATTCACTACCCAAGAATCACAGTCAAGATGGCAAATATTTCATAGCACAGTGCATACTAACACAAGTATCGTGTCTTCTCAACAATTTTATCAAAATCAGGATGCACAAGATTCAACAGCCCTCACACGGATGATAATGTATCCACTCTGCACTCAAGTGTTTAAGGGACATTTAGCACTCAAATCAACTCCATGAAATGACATTACCATAAGCTTGCTAATATATCACATTTCCACCACTTAAAATGAATTCAATGCAAAAATCAAAGGGTCTTTATAAGGGTTGTAACGAGGCTTGGGTTAAGGGTTGGATAAAAGGGAATTATTTAGGTGTACATATATCAAAGGAAACATCAATAATATTCTGCATGAAATCAAACTCCTTTGTCATTTACATGTATAGCTAGCTTCCAGGTGTGTCAATAACTTCACTAAACTTGGCAAGTGCAAACGCAATTTAGGCATTAGCCCAACTATCACAAAACAACACAAGTGCACTTCACAACAAAATTTTTTTTTTCTTCTTTTTTTTCTTTCAATTTTTCTCTTTTTTTTCAATATTTTTTTCTCTTTTTTTGTATTTTTTTTCATTTCTCTCTTTTTTTTTTAAAAAAAAAATGCACAACATAACTATCACACTTGCCAACCATAAACGTACTTTTGGAACACACTTGAAATTGTCATGCAAGAATATTATGGTATTCTTTTGAAATAAGGTTCAAATGAGAAGGTCTAAACAAAAAGGTTTAAGGTAACGAATTTGGCTATTAAACCAAGAAAAGGGTTGAGGCTCCAACATGGTTAACTAAGGGTAAACATAATTAGGGAAGGCATTTAGATAGTAAAAAGGTTTAAACCTAATTGCCCTTGTCATTTTAATGTATCAAATTCAAGCATGGTCTCAACATGTATAACAAAGCAAGTTCTAGAATGTCAAATCATGTGTGATATCACTCAACAAAAGAAAATAGAGCACACTATAATGAATTGCTCATTAGGCTCAAAAGCTCACAAAATGATGAAAATTATGTCAAATCTAGTACATCCATCATTCAAATCAATTGCAAGAAAATAACATACTCATGCTAATAACATTATACTATTCATATTTGCATCTTAACTGCATTACATAAAACAAAATTATTCATGCCAATTTCGAAAAAAATTTCACTAACTTTCACTTGAAAGATCCACTCCCCTACACCTAAATCAGACATTGTCCTCAATGGATGAAATTTAAGTGCAAAAAGAAGAAAAGAGGACTTCCCTGATTATTGAACTGAACATTCAAGAGGGAATAAGTTGCTTAAAAATCACTACAGGCGAAGCACGTAGTGAGGTTCAACTTGGGATCGCAATATTGGAGATTTTGTTGTAAGGCGTGGGCACGCTGTATAAGAAATAGTCTTCTGACCTTCCAATCGTAAAACAAACAACTCTTTCTGGACATAGAGCATGGGCACGTCTTGTAACAAATAGTTGACAGTCCAATCCGACCTAAAACGAACAATGCCCTCTGAACATAGAGCGTGGGCACGTCTTATAACAGAAAGTCTTCTGACCAAGGAATTCTCATCCAATCAAAGCGAAAACTTCATGAGCACGTCCACAGCCTGCAACAAAAAGCCTTTTATCGATAAGAAATGAAACAAACTGAACTTGCACCTAAGATCATGAAATAAAAAAAAATGAGAGAAAAAAAATGACTAGAAATTGAAACGCTTGGGTTGCCTCCCAAGCAGCGCCTTTCTTTAACGTCTTTGGCTAGACAATACCAGTGTTCAGTCAGGGTGTAACTCAAACTTTTTTCCAACTCTTGACATTTCTTGCGAATCCAAATTGCAATTGATTACATCCTTCAAAGCATCTCTACCATCTAATTCAAACTTTTGCTGCATGAAAGGGTCAATTTCATCTATAACAAAAACAGAATATGCCTCACTAGAATATTTCATGGCATCACAGATATTGAATTTTATTATTTCACCATCAAATTCCATTGTCAAGGTCCCCGAATAAACATCAATTTTTGTTTTAGATGTCATTAAAAATGGCCTGCCTAACAAAATTGGAGGTGAAACAGAGAAATCATCATCCATTTCTAACACATAGAAATCTGCAGGAAAAACCAATTTATCAACTTGAACTAGAATATCCTCTAACACCCCATCAGGATATGCATTAGACCTATCAGCAAGTTGCATAATGACACTTGTTGCTTTTAAGGGTCCAAGATTCAGAGAATTATAAATGGAACGAGGCATGATATTTACTGCAGCTCCTAAATCTATCAATGCTTTTTCGACCTTAGCATTCCCTATTTTGCAAGGAACAGTAAACATACCTGGATCCTTATGCTTAGAAGGCAATTTCTGTTGTAGGACCGCTGAAACACTTTCTCCCATATAAATCTTTTCACAGCCTTTTAACTTTTTCTTAGTGGTGCACAATTCTCTAAGAAATTTTGCATATTGAGGAATTTGCTTAATGGCATCGAGAAGGGGAATGTTTACCTCAACTTTGCGAAAAATGTCAAAAACTTCTTGCTCTTGCTGCCCCTTCTTAGATTTTGTAAATCGACTGGGAAATGGAGGAGAAGGTGTCACCACTACTGACGATTCATCTCTAAATTTTTGCTGCGGCACATCTTTAGGTTTGGGTGCCACTTCTTCTTTCTCAATAGCCTTCTCAATGGCCTGCTCAGAAATTCTCTGACTGGGTTGTGGCAACTCTTTGCCATTCCTCAATGTAATTGCACTCACATTTTGCTTGGGGTTGATAATAGTCTGTGAAGGCAACTTTCCTGAACCTTGAGACTCCCATCGATTAAATGCAGACGCTAGTTGGCTCACTTGATTCTCCAGATTTTGAATACTAGCTCTCTTCTCCTGTTGAAATTGCTGTGCATTAGTGGCTAACGATTTAACAATTTCTTCAAGTGATATACCTGGTTTTGAAACCGGTTGCTGTTGGTGAAATCCCGGTGGCTTTGAGGCATAACTGAAATTTGGATGATCCTTCCACCCTGGATTGTAGGTGTTTGAATAAGGATCATATCGCCTTTGAGGTGGGCCAGGAAATCCGCCAATTGCATTCACATATTCATTTGGATCATCTTGTAGTGTGGGACATGTATCAGTCTGATGGCTAGAAGCATAGCAAATTCCACATGTTTTGGCTTGCTGAACCTGTCTTACAACCAACTTTTCCACCAAAGAGGTTAGAGAATCCAATCGTTGTTCAATAGAGGAAATACTCACCTCATTGACTTTTCTAGGAGCATAATCCGGTCTCTCACCGAATTGTTGACCATTGGCTGCCATACTTGATATTAACCTTTTGGCTTCCATTGGCGTTTTATTCACCAATGCTCCTCCACTGGCTGCATCAATGATTTTCCTATCTGTTACTGATAATCCCTCGTAAAAATATTGAATAAGAAGTTGATCAGGGATTTGATGGTGAGAACAACTTGCACATAGCTATTTGAATCTTTCCCAATACTCGTGCAATGTTTCTCCATTAAATTGTCTAATCCCACAGATATCTTTCCTAATGCTTGCAGCTCGGGAAGCACGAAAAAATTTCTCAAGAAATTGCTGCTTCATATCAGTCCACATGGTAATTGATCTAGAGGGCAAATAATAGAGCCAATCCTTAGCTTTATCGGCTAAAGAAAATGGAAAGGCTCTTAATTTTATTTGTTCCTCCATGACCCCTTGGGGCTTCATGGTCGAGCATACCACATGAAATTCCTTGAGGTGCTTGTGAGGATCTTCACCTGCAAGTCCACGAAAAGAAGGGAGTAAGTGAATCAATCCAGATTTCAATTCAAATGGTACTTCTAAAACAGGATATGTTATGCAAAGGGGTTGCTGATTTAAATCTGGTGTAGCTAGCTCTCTCAAGGTCCTTTCTTCGGCCATGGTTTCAATCTCCTCTTCAATTTCACTAGAAGGTTCAACCAAGTTAGACGACCTTGCTCGTTGCTTAGTTTGCTTTGTCAATAGACGTGCTGTCTTCTCTATCTCAGGATCGTATTGCAATTCACCTGTACGCGAAGATCGAGGCATAAACTAGCAACATAATAAATAAAATAAAAATAAAAATCAAAGAAAATAAATCAATAAGGCACCAGTCCCCTGCAACGGCGCCAAAATTTGTTGGCTTGTCAAACCAGCAAAAATAAAAGTTCCTACTCTAATAATATGGATTTGAGTGTAGCGGTGAGTAGGGTCGTATCCACAGGGATTGGGTGATTTATTTCTTTGTGAAAAATAGGGGATTAGGAGAAATTAGCTAAATAGCTCACGTGAATAAAAATAAAGACAATATCACAAAATTAAATAAAACTAAACCAATGAAAGACAATACTCTAGTCGAAGGTCTAATTTCCACTTTGGTTCATTTAACTGATCATCGATGCAAAGGTGAAATCACTTATTCATGAATAAACTGGTTATGGTCGTCAACACGCTCTGACAACCTGCCTCGTCTTACTGTTTCGATAACCACAACACGCTCTGTGGCTATTTCTCTTGCCAATTAAGCAACCCTAAACAAGCTCTTAGGATTTAACCTATTGACAGCATTAATAATTAGAGAAGCTACCAATTCTAACCAACAAACACACAAGCTCGGTTCATTTAAGTTAGATTATATATTCCCGTGACATAGATTCGAAAGTCTCTTTTACAATCAAATTACATCACGCGCCACAGATACTAAAACCATCAAACAATTACGGATTTGATATTTTAGATGGCAATAGACTATTTCAACAATTAAATATTGTTCAGGTATTTAACTGTAGAAAATAATCATAAACATGGATGACAGAGAATATATAAATACTCAGAAATAGATGAAGCAAATAAATCAAATTAGATCTCACTGAATTGTCGAACCAAAGCTTCAATTATCCTTCAACTAGAAAAGAGATTAGCCACTCCTCATGATAGATTCGCGGCCATAAGGAATATTAGGGTTTATTGTAGAGAAAAAAAGGAAAAGAATAAGAGCCAGTGGAAGCCCCCCTGCCCACGTCTGTTTTCTCCCCTATGAATAGGGGATGGGCTCCTCTTTCCTTCTAAGACTCCTAGTTCCCCTAAACTAACCAACTAGAACCTTTTAATTGGTTTCCCAAAATAATTACATCGAATCATGGCCCCTCAAGGTCTCCAATCCGTGGCTAATGTGTCAGCCCATGGGATGCAACCGGCTCCTTGACCAGTTGACAGATTTATCTTGTGTCTTGCGAACTTTTGACTACTTTATCAAATAAGGCGTGGGCACGCTTTATAACGAAAGTTCTTTTGGACATGGACCTTTAGAAGCACCAAGTTTGACAAAGCGTGGGCACGCTTTACAAGACGTCTTCTGCAAAGTCAACTTTTAACGCGTCTTTTACTCCATTCTCACTAACAACTCCTACAAACAGTACCGAAATTCAAATATGAGTGAAATATATCGATTAACGCCATATTTTAGCAAAACAAAGGGGATAATATGTACCAATTATATGCACAATTAGCCACTTAACACTTCGAGTTTTGCTAAAATATATTGGGTAGGATGACACATTCAAGTGCCAAAGGCAATCAAAATGAGTTACATTGCTACATTTGTTCCAAAGTTCAAAAGCACAATACAGAACAAGAAAATTGGAAAGCTCCAATGCAAGGCAAAGCTTGGCCAAAACCTCTTGCTTTGTGGCAAACAAAGCCTCCAAAGTTTCAACTGAGCCTTGTAGTTATAGACCTGGAAAAAGGCAAGAAAAATGGTCTCAGAAGAACAAAAATCAAACATGATTTGCTTGGTCAAAATTTTAGATAAGAAGTTAAAAAGCAAATAGTCATGAAATTGGCATCAAATCAACCAATGGCCCTTTGGGTTGTTGGCTATCACCAATGATTTAAGTTGGGGTCAAGGGTTCCACTTGGGCCTCTTCTGCCCCCCCCCCCCCACAACCCCCCAACACCCACTTGGCCCTCTCCCCTCCTGAAATAGCCTAGAGTACAACATTCATCGATTTGAAAACAAAAATGAAAGGAATAACAGAAACAAAAGGAATTCATGTCACAAACGAATAGAGAAAATGGATAGGTTGCTGAAAATTCATAAAATAGACTTACGAGCGATCATGGGAAGCATAAAGCAGAGTAATCCAAATCATGCTCATCATGTTGTCAAATCTGAACTCCTGATAAAGACTTTGATGTCATCAATACCCATGTCCATGCATTCCTCCCTAATCCTAATGGCCGACTCTTCTACAGATTGTGCACAGCAATTCACTTCAATCATTTGCAGTGTAGGTATATCCACAAGATACATCGGAATTTCCTCAAGGTCAATGCAATTTTGTAAGACAAGTCTTTCAAGTGTAGGGAGGTGGTCACGAGAGGCATTCCATTGGACAATGTCCAGAGTGTCTAAGCTCAAGAATCTGAGTCTCTGGAACTCTCCTTCCTTCATCTCCCATATTTGCCCTTCAAAGGCACCAGATTGTAACTTGAGAACTTCTAGGTTTGGAAGCCTCCCAATTGCAGACATATGGCTCCATGGCAAGCGAAAGTCTGAGAGAGTCAATTTCTTCAGATTCGATGGCAGGTTGAACTTGCCATCATTGAGAGGGGTCCCAAAGTAGAGTATCTTGACTGACTCCAAATGAGTTAGAAAATCCAACGCTGGAAATTGATTGAAGGTCGTGGAAGAATCCTGTGACTCATAGAATATGCAACTCAGTTTGCGAAGATTTGGAAACCTCTTCAGTATCCTTTCTGCATCCTGACCACAGGGAAGGGACAGGCGGGAAAAGCTGACCAAATTTTCTAAAACAGAGGAGTTTTCAGACTCTTCGTCATCCAAGTTGAAAGCAACATGGATTTTCACATGAAGATGCCTCAGACTTGTCAGGCACCAAATCGTATTTGGCAAGATGATCTTACCACGCAATCCTTTCACAATAAGAGTTTCCAGTTTCCTGAGGTTGCCTAATGATTGTGGAATAGAAGTCACATACCCCCCAACTGCTAAATATCTCAATTGAATCAGTAGTCCAATTTCAACAGGAAAAGAAGCCACGTCGATGCATTCGAAATCCAACACCCTAAGTAATTTAAAGTTGTGCAAAATGAACGAGATGTCGTAAGGCCATCTAGTTTCTGAATCTGTAGAGGCAAAAAACACCAAAGAACGGGTGCCCAGGCCAGATGGTCTTGATTCAAGAAACTGATTTTGCTTCAAACATACAGCCAACCGATAGGATGCAAATGAAACAGGACGCAAATGATGGTAAAAATCAAATTCAAAACCATAATCTGAACTGGGAAAAGAAGCATATGGGTCATCACACCTGGTTACTAGCTGAAAGAAGTTTGCATCTTTGGCTTTCGACTTACAGAAATCAAGCATAAGAGACTGAAGACGACATGCTTTGACTTTGCCGTTGGATCTTCTTCTGGAGACTATTACCAAGCTTTTGTCAATCAACTCCACCAAAAACTCCTCTGCCAAATCTTCAAAGCTCTTTGTCTGAGTTTTTGGTATTAACCCTTCTGCAAGCCACAGCTGAATCAACTTGCTAACAAGAATATCTTTGTCTTTATCAAGAACTCCCATGTAGAGAAAGCATGGTTTTAGATATTCCGGCAAGTATTGGTAGCTTAGTTCTAGGACTGACTGGCCCTGAGCTTCTGGGTCATTGAGTACCTGGGAGCTCAAGCTGTTTGCTATTTTCTTCCACGAATTTCGGCTCTTTTCTGTCATCTTCAGTATACCAGCTACAGCAACAATTGCAAGAGGCAATCCTCGACATTGCCGAGCAATTTCTTTTCCAACTGCCACTAACTCTTTGGGGCAATCTTCCTCATTGAATACCTTCATCTTTAATAACCTGAAACTTTCATCCTCAGAGAGCGCACGAAGAGAATGAGGTTCTCTATGTGGATTGATTTCCAAGGCCAATCCACGGGAACGAGTGGTTACCAGAATTCTACTTCCATTGTGGTCATCCGGGAAAATACGTTTTAAGTCATTATAAGCTCCAACACTCCAAACGTCATCCATAACTATGAGATACCTTCTTCTTTTCAACATCTTCCAGAGTTTGTCCTCGAGATCTTCATCATTCATTTCAGAAATCCTGTCAGTAAGCTCGCTAATATCTGCTAAAATCTGAAGCAATAATTGCCTTTCCTCATACTTGGGAAACAGTGCACCATGCACGAATATGGAAGTGGCGCATGACAATTCTATTGTTGTATACTTTCCTCGCCAATAGAGTCTTGCCTAAACCGGGCATTCCAAAAATAGAAACAGTATTTAGACTCATGGATCCTCTAGTAAGCATGTCGGTTATCATTTCTTCTTGGTCCCATAGATCCACCACAATTTCATCGATTGCCATTGTACCATCCCTTGGAAACGTACCGCGTGAAACATCCTTGGTCACATTTTCGGGAACTAGGACTTTAGCATCACGGATGGTCAACTGAATTCCACAGGCCTTCTCATTTACAAGTCTCAACTCCTCCAGTACATCATTTAACCAGAAGAAATCCTGCCATTGAGCATCAACCTCAATTGAATCAATCACATACTCTGCTTTATAGGCCAAATGAATGATTTGTTTACCAATATCTTTCAGCTCCTGATCCTCTTCAATCTGTAACTTTGAAACATCCACAAGAAAAGAACTCAATGACTGGAGATGTCGTTGAATCTCTTCAATGTGGTGCTTTGCCAATGCAATTGACACAGGATCATATTTCAGCAGCTCCACAAGGTTTGTTGACAGAGAATCAACGAAATTCAGTCTGAAAGTCGTAGGGAAAGCAAACAGTGGAAATTGGGGAATTATCTTTTTGAGCTTTGCCTCCATCAACTGGTTCATCTTATCTAAAAGCTCGGAAAATGAAAGGATCATTTCATCTTGTGCGATAAGAAAAGAATAATTGAGACTTGTCAGACTCCTGAAAAAAACTTCAATTGGTTTGAAGGCTCTGAAGATGTCCTCTGTATTCTTCATTCGCTCATCTGAGAGAATTAGTGGAAAGTACTCAAGCTTCTGAAGATGAAGTGCAATTCGATCTTTCCCACTAGCCATGGAAGTTGCGTCATTACCACTCTTCAACAGTAATAAATCCGTTAGAAACGACTCTTCCTTGAAAATCACAATCTTAAAAAAAAGTAGGAGAAGTGAGTTCTTCATGATACATCCAGTGATTTTCTTGTCCCTAAATGACTGATGAAGAGATTCTACTTCCTGAAACAACGATTCAGTGAACGCCAACATCTTTTCCCCACCCTCAATCTTCTCAAGGGGTAAATTTTTGGAATATATGCTCAGATTTCTCGAGATATCTTTCCAATCTGAAAGCATACTGGAGGAGGACGATGAATTGCTGATAATTTCGCTCATATTATGAATTTGTGCCATGAGGGAAAGCTCCGCTCTGAGAAGACAAATTCTTGTAAGTAACTCAGAACACTGAGGAGAGTCATCCAGTTTGTGCCCCTTGCGACAATTGACTTCAAAGAGCGACGCTATCTCAACCAGCATTGCATTGATTTCTGGAAAGAAACTTTTTACTGCATCCTTGTCCTTTAATTTAGTAGTAGCATCAACAAAAAGAGTTAAAAGGGAAGGCACCTCTTTTCGAAAATCACCACGTTCAGAATTGAAGAGATAGTTGCAGAATTGCATAACAACATCCATCTCTTCATCCTTGTTATTACTAATACAGCAAAGAGTCAAAAGGAAATTGAGATGGAAACTCATGAAAGTGGGATTTCTTGGATGAACCTCATGGTGCAAATCCTCCACGAACTTACTCAGCTCACCTTTTTCCACTTGGATCCGGCCTGTTTTGCAATCCAACCAGTGGACAGAACACCGATCTACAATTCGAAGGACCAAGGATACCACATGACCGAGGGAGGCATCAATACTAGGCACTGCATCATCTGTTTTTGCTCCTGCCCCTTCTCCAACGCCTGATCCTCCCAGGTATGGGAATTTGGGATCACTTAGTAATAGACCAAAGTAACGCTTGATGGACTTTAGACTGTTGTAGAAGGTAAAGACTTGATCCCGTATACCAAAGTGTTCATGACCCAAGTGATCTACCACAATCTGACTGATTCTGAGCACGTTTGATTGTGCATGGCTGACAAATCTTGGCCAAAAGGAAACATCAAGAGTTGCAGGAGACATCAGCTGTAACTGGAGTGAGCTGCTGATGGTGCTCCCTCCTGTTGAGCACGACGAGTACAGATAGTCAAGAGCTTCTCCAATTTCAGCCATTAATCGCTTGGTTTTTGTTTCACAATCACGAGCTAACTGGAGAAGGAACTGTGATTCTGGACCCTCGTTGTCCTCCTCCTCTCCATCAGAAATACGATTAAGGTCATGGGCAATCTCCTCGGCTGCAGCTTCAATCTTGACACCTGCATCACTCCCCTTATGACAGGACTCCCAAAGAATCCTCAGAACCCTCCAGTCCTTGTAGACCTGCTCTGCAGTGACCGATCGACGCCGTAACCCTTCCAAAACAGAATCAAGGCGATCCAAACTAGAAGCCGCACCACCACCACCAGAAGCCATTATCTTCAAAATTTAAGGATGCAAAAAGTCGTCTTACAACAACGTTTTCTACCTGCTTCAGAGTTTTAGACACATGCATATTGTTAGTATTCTGGCCAAAATAAAATAAATAATTGACGACTAATTAATCAAGATGATTTTTTTATATACACCAAACTATCCGCCATGTGAATTGATGTTTGGAACTCAACCACCCCATTTGAATTTCAAAGTCAGAAAATAAAATAAAATTATGGATATTGAAGACTAGAGACTAAGAGTGCATTTGATAAAATTAAAGTTTGAAAACTGAAATTTGAAATTTAAAATTATTAAATTATTAAATTATTAAGTATTAAATCTAATATATTTGAGTGTGTTGATAAGTGAATTTCTTATTAATCATTTTTCGAAATAAGTTTTGTTTAGAAAATTTAGTGTCACTTGATTAATTTAGATGTTTAACTTTTGGTTATCAAATTCATTTGAATATGTTAAAATTTGAATCCATTAAATTTAAGTACTAAATTGAATTATCAAACAAGATCGTGCAACTCTCCCCTCTTCCCTACCTCTTTTCTCTCTCCCCTCATAATCAACTCTCTTTCCCAAAACCCGCTAAACACTGGCCCTCGCTGTCAGCAACCACACAACCATCAAAACTCTGACATCCCTAGTGTTTATTCCCTTTTTTCCCTCTTTCTTATTACTATAATTTTGAACCTTATCTGTTGTTTCAATATCTTCACTTTTTTTTACAGATTTCAATAAATTGAAGTTGCCAAATTGAAAGGCGTAGAGAGCATACTTAATTACCAAATTAGAGGGAAATGAAGATGGTGACAATGAAGAGTTTAAAAAATGGAATTGTGGAAATGAAAACTTTAGAGTAAGATAGAGTTTAAACGCCTGTCAACATCACGACTTTCATTGTTCCTCCTCCTCCTCCTATGACTTCATAGAAAGATAGTATTATCCTCTCTTCTCTTCTTTCTTTCTTAATCTAAATTTTATCTTCTCTCATAAATTCCCAAACTAGGCCTAAGCCCTTTTTTTTTTTTTTGGAACATGTGCAACAAGCAGAATTACATCATTTACTGTACTATTATTTTGATTCCTAATCTTGATATTAAGCATTGATTAAGAGGTGAATATCTTATGCTCATCTTCTAAGGCGGAGTGAAAACTAGAAATCAATTACTAATTTACTAGAATTTATCTGTTAAGTTAGCACATATGAATAAGTTCAAAACGATTTCATACCTTAGTATACAATACTGGATATTATATAAGATACATTACACTAACCTTCCTTATAATTTTTACAAAAGTTAGGAAACTTTCCTCTTGATATCAAAATAATAGGAACCTCCCATCTTCCTTGTTATACAATATCAAAAAGTTTCCCTACTCTTAATTAAATGAAGAAAATTAAGTATTTTTGTCATGAATTAGTTCTGCGTCAGCATATTGCCTTTACAATGACATAGGTAAATATTTCTAAAGAAAAATTAAGAAAAGAGGGTGAAACTAGTTTTTCTTTTCTTCAAAATCTGTGGTTACAAAAAATTGATGACACCTAATTATGTGTGTAGCCATAAAAGTTGGTCCTCTATCATTTTATTTTATTTCTTTCAGATTAAGTGCTTGTATTTCTAAGAAATATTAAATACTGAACCCCATTTGTAATTTGAAAAATAAAAATTTAAAGGAAAAGTGAAATTTGAATTTTTTGAGTTTTTTATGGAGTAAAATGAAGGGAAAAAGTAAAAACAAAACCAAGTGTACAATGGGACTTTTGAGACTTTTTTTGCCCATTAGAAGTTTAGGAAAAAAGTTTTGTCAAATTGAGGAGTTGCCACTCGATATTGAGTTTTAAGTGTATCAAATCACTCAAATTATCAATGAAAAAGTAGTTTTATTTTAAAAATTAAAGTAAAAACCCGGCCCTTTGCCTAAACAATTCTTGGTATTTTGAATGCCAGATAAAATGAGTTTGGGACTGGAGGAAGGGGTTAGGTTGGATAGTAAGGTGGAAAATAATGTTAGTTGGAAGTTCTGAATTCAAAACACCTCACTTACAAGAGAGAGAGAGAGAGAGTTTGGAAGCTCAATTGTGAGGGAGTAACTCAAGCACCTTCTTACACCCAAATAAACCAGATGCTAGTCTAATTTCAATTTTAGTTTTAGAGCCAATGGTTAGTCTATTCAAGCTAAACAAGTAACCCAAAATAAATAAATAAACATAGTTAACTCAAGCTTTTCATTGGAAAAGTTATAGAATAATGCGCTCTCACATATGATCATATTTCACCAAAAAAATAAGAAAAATGAATTTAAAAATTACAAAAGATCCTATGTCCTTTTTCTGGCTCACATAGTACTGAGAAAGCAATTAGTGAAAGAAAAAAAAAATTATAGAATTACATAGGCCTAACTCCGTTTGGGCTCACATAAGTACAAAGAGAAATTCTGAGGAGGTCTTGGTTTAGTTATAGAATTACATAGGCCTAACTCCGTTTGGGCTCACATAAGTACAAAGAGAAATTCTGAGGAGGTCTTGGTTTAGTTATAGAATTACATAGGCCTAACTCCCTTTGGGCTCACGTAAGTACAAAGAGAAATTCTGAGGAGGTCTTAGTGTAGTGATTAAAATTGATACTTAGGACTAGAGGTTCTGGGTTCTAATTTTTATATCCATTCCCCATTTCGTAAATCCCATCTTTCTCCTTTTTTTTTTGTAAAAAGGAAAAAAGTACAAAGAGAGATAAAGCAAATGACAAAGTTAGTCATTCAGACCTAACTGCAACATTTTAATCAAATTTGTGGGTCGAACTAAAAATGACAGAAAGTTAGTGGCACAATTTTAAAAAGTAAACTAGAGGGACTGAGATGCAATTTCGGAAAATCTATCATCTTCCTCCTCCGGACACAATGCTATTTGACCATATAGCTTTCTTCTTCTTTTATTTTGCCAAAATTACCAGACAATCTCACCTCCAGCCAGTCAACAAGACCAAAAAAAAAAAAAAGATAAAATTGAAAACAAGACAGATAAGGGGAAAAATTAAGGTTGCCAAAAAAAGGGGGAAATTAACGAATAATCATGTATTTCATGTACATAGTCCTAAGAAGAAGATATCTTACAGTGGTGGTGGTGTTAATTTCCAGTAACGGCGACAGCAGCTCCTCCCCTTGCTCGTTTTTCACTCTGATTTCCCTCTTCTTTTTCCTGCCTCTTAATGCCTGTGTTTATGTATTTCCTCGGCGCTAGTAATAGAGAAGACAGAGAGGGAGTTTGAGAAAGAAATTTTCCCTGATGATCATCGATGTTATCAAGCTCTAAATGAGACCACAAACCAACCAAATGTATTCATCATAGACATAGATATCATGGTACCACTGCCCAGTACATAATATGAAGGACATGAATAAGAAAGGTGAAAGGTTAAATAGTAAAAGCAAAATCACTCTATAAATGGTAGCTAGATGAGCTTACATTCCAACTCTCCACCCTGGCTTTCACCCAATAAAACCATAAAAAGGAAAAAAAAAAAAAAAAAAAAAAAAGGAACCAAAAGGGAGGTTTTAGCAAGGTTCCAGCTAAACTAAGAGGGTAACTTACAAAGGTAGTATGAGACATAATCAGAAATATTGGACAAATTAAATATCAAAAGCCAAATAAAGCATCTGGCTTTCTGCAACCATTTAAGACATACGCAACCTCGCAGTAAATTCATTCGTCGAACAACATAATCCAGTATCACTTACGTGACAATCCAAGTTCCCAAATTCGGATGGTTCTTGTATCTCAGCTCATCAACTGCAGCGGCAACAGATGCAATGTTCCACGGGCTACAAGAGAGCAAAGTTTTAGGTTAGGAGCTCTATTTCCTGCTGCCGGTGCAACAAATACTCCAGCTTTAATCGCTGAAAGAAGTGTAGCGTCAAAAGTGTTTAAGAAGGTAGCCTTTGTGGTTGCTGGGGGTACTGTTTGGCTCCACTGAGAGATTTAGGAAGCCAACACCGTTGACATTGCAAGGCCTATGAAAAGAATCCCTGGGAAGATTCACATATGCAAGGTGGATATGGTTGATATCGATTGACTTCACAATCTCACGATGGTCATAAAGAAGAACAAGCTAGCAGATCAGAATTCTCATAAATGAGCTCTTTAAGGATGCAGAAGCCGTTTTAGAACAAGGCTTTTTACCTACTGCAGAGTTGTATATAGTTGCATACCTTGTGTATTCAGCCGAGAATGAAGGAAATAATTGACGACTAATTATTAGGATAATTTTTTATATTTGTGTAACCATCAGCCTCGTGAGCTGATGTTTACAACTCAACCACCCACTTTGGATTTTACTGTTTTGAAATAGAAGCCATGACTTTTGACTAAGCATGCGGAACAAGATAACTTTCATTATTTTACTTTAGCACGTATCATACTGAGGATCCAAAGCATTGATTACAAGCTGAGATCCCTGATTTAGACCTTTAGATAGTGTTCGTTTGTCACGAAAAGGGAAGGATATTGAAGGACTTTCCTATAAGTTTCAAACGTTTGTTTGTCAGAAAACTGAGGAACTTTCCTATAAGTTTCCCCGTAACCGCTCATTTTCCTGTAAAATTTTTCCTGTTGTAATTGATAGGAAAGTGAGTCACAAGAAAATTTCAATTAATTAATTTTTTTTACAACTTCATTCTTTCTAAACTATTTCCTCTATTCTAAGCTTCTACGTAAATTAGAATATCTTAGAATTTACAATTGAAACAACCGCCTTGTAATTAGACATTTTATTCTTATTTTAACAATTAATGATTTAGTAATTTATTGAATTTATATGAAAATAGTATTTTTCTTCTTTTACATTTTACGCTCCTTTATTATGTCCATATATTTTTGAAATAACTTACACACACACACACATATATATAGACTTATTATTAAAGAATGCGATTAATTTTCAAGTAAACAACTCTTCTAATATGCAATGCAAAATTCTATAATTATTACATGTTTTTACATATATTAAATACCAAAAATGAAGAAGTACAATATTGAATATTTTCTATTAACGAACACAGTAGCTAATTTTTTCCTAACTTTCCAACTAAACAAACACAAGAATTTATATTTGTTTGCATCATTTTCTTTTAACCAAGCAAAGTTAATTTTCTTTTCCTTTATCACACTTCATTTCATTTTTTCATGACATAATTTCTTACACTTTCCTGTCAAACAAGCAGCGCCGTGCAGCTAAGATTCCAATATAACCTACATACTTTACTTACTTTTCTTCTTTCCTTTTGATCATTTTTATAGGAATAAAAAGTTAGTGGGAATCCATTCATATGTGACGTCTTCTAGTACTTGCCTTCGATTATTGACCTTTGAGATTTATAATCCATATGTAGTTTAAACTTAAAGAATACTAGGGGGCACTCCTAATCAACTACGTGTCTTCTTGGCTCTATTCTGTTGGATTTGGCCACCCAAGCAAGAACGTTGAATTGGACAAGGATAAATCGAAAGTATGTTACAGGAAGATCATCCATTTTACAAATACTCCATCCAAGACTGGTCGAGTTGGACAAACATTGGGGGAGGAATGCATTGGGTAATTCGGGAGAGGCAATGTAAGTGTAAGTGAGATTTCGAATTCGAATCCTCCCATTTACACTAAAACAAAAAAATTGAACAAATATTAGGACAAAGTTCAATATTTACTGGTCTGTGGCTGTAGATGAATTTGTACATACTTTAGTTGGACGTCTCTATAATATTAAATTCGATATTTTCTAACTTCAAATTATTGCATGCCATTGAATTTTCTTTTTTTCCTTTTATATGCATTTTAATTTGTTAATTAGCCAACAAAAAATCAAGAGATTAACATTGAATGTGGTAGGAACAAATTTACAATCATTGTATTTAAAAATAAATTAACTCAGAGGCAAGAATGAATTGGGTGATTTCGGGGAAAAAATTGTAAATGAGAGGTTTCGGATTCAAACTCTCCCACGTACACTAAGAAAATAACTTGGGCAAAATTTCATCTTTTAACTTTCGCAAAAATAGGGAGAGCACTTGTAACCGTAAAAAACCAACATATATAATTGCTAGAATAATTATATTTTTGAATCTTTTTTAAAAAAATCAATAATCTTCGTATTTATTCTGTTGTCGGTAAGTGAAATATGTTCAGAATTGTGTCTAAAGAGGAATCAATGCTCACTAGACTAGATAAAATAACCCCGAAAGTCTTCTTGTCATTTTTGTATATATATTTACTTTAGATTGAGGATACGGGACAAGTTAAATATTTGTCTTATTCTAGAACTTTTAATCCAAAGCAAATCAGGCATGTAGACTGCAAATTTACCCATTTTCACCGAGGTAGTTTAGAAGATCAAGGATTGTTTGGCTCCAAATTTTTACAAGTTTGATTGTTTGGCAAATTTATTTTTTGCTGCTCATTTTTGTCAAACATGTAATATTAATTAGATTGACTCTTGTATCAAAAAATTAAAATACTTTTAGTTTCAAGAACAATAGAGTAACATGTGACTCTTATTTTTGAATGTTAGATCTAATATTAAAAATGGGTATTTAAGGAAAGTATGAACAAAAATTAATTGATTTAATTATATTACTCCCTCCGTCCCACTTTGATAGTTCTGTTTTTAAAATACTTTTAGTTTCAAGAACAATAGAGTAACATGTGACTCTTATTTTTGAATGTTAGATCTAATATTAAAAATGGGTATTTAAGGAAAGTATGAACAAAAATTAATTGATTTAATTATATTACTCCCTCCGTCCCACTTTGATAGTTCTGTTTTTCTATTTCGTCTGTCCCAAATTATAGTCCACTTTCCAATTGAAGAATATATGTATCTTTTAATTTCTCTAAAACTAGTGTGAATACCAGTGCTACGCACGGTGCCTACATTATTAAAAAAAATTACAATCTATGGAAGAATTTTAAAATAGTAAAATATTATAATCACGGGCACATGAAAGTATATTTAAAAAAATGAAAGTTTGTAACAATAGTTCAATATATGATAAAAATATCTCCATTATTTATAAACGATCATTTCGATGAAGGTTGGATCTTGAAAAAAAAATAGAAATCTATATCATAAATTGAACGACATAAGGGTCCAATTAAATATAATTGAATATTTAATTTGATAAGTAAATGAAATACTTACAGACATTTTGCCTTTGATTTGATAATCTTCTACGAAGGTGTGAACATTCTTCACACCAGTCAACTCTGAGTACGAACGCCAGTATTGGGGGTTTAATTAATTCTGTTGTTTTTTGTGGAGTTCACACTATAAATGAGAATGCACGATTTTTGCATGAATTAATGTGTTGGTCGAACAATGCACCTCCATTTTTCTGACAATTAAAAGCATACATAGTTCAAAATTATCTTTTGTTTTAGACAGTTTGTAAATAATATTGTGTAAAAAAATATACATATAAATAATGTATACCTTTGTTTTTAAATCTCTAAGATAAGAAGCATCACAACGAAACATGAATCGTGCATGCCTGTCTTGAAGAGCGAAGTATAGTACCGAAACTTGTAAACAATGGAAACAACAATTATATTATAATATTGAAAATATTAGTAATAATTGAAATTACAATGAAAATGTCAATATTCAAAGAATAAATAGTACCGAAACTTCTATTTTGATACATAAGATTACTGTCCATAAGATTACACCTAAAAAGTATATTAATTTTTAGGTGCCATTGTCTCATATGTTCTCGTAAGCAATGTTTTGCAAGATTCTTAGGTGCCATTGTCTCATATGTTTTTGCAAGAATTATTTTTTGAATCTATTCCTTTTTTTTTTTTTTTTTGCTCTTTCTCTCGATCGTCAACATTTTTGTCTTGCACGATTCCAACTTTCCACAGCAAAATTACAGCATAATCCAGATTTAAGCAGCCCAAGGACATGTAATGCAGTAAGACACAAAATCTGCCAAAAAAAAAAAAGAGCCAAAACACAAAAAACGAACCTACCCGCTAGTAGTAATCTCTTAATGTCAACCTTCAGAACATCTTATTTCAAAGAAACGAAGAAACTCCAAAGATCACAACTCATAATTAATAGTACTACTATTTTGCGTGAGCAGAATTAATAGTACTACAGCAATATGCTACCATATTAACAGTTTGGGGGAAAACCTACATAAGTCACATCATGAGCACAACTCATGATATGATCAGTTTTTCAGCCATAATGTGGGACGTAGTATACTTTTGGGAATTACTCATTATCTTTGTCAAATTTAAAGGGCTATAGTGAAGCACTTTAAGCATGATCTTCCACCAAAAACTTCTGCAATAAATGCAAACTGCATTCCTTGTCAGTATAATGTTTCAGTTAATTCACATTACCTTACTTTTATATTTTTTTCAAAAGAAAAAAAAGAATGTTACATTAGTCCCTCGTCAGTTTCCCAAGCTATTTGTCTCTAAGTCTGGATAGTCACTCGAGGTGACTGGAGAAAATATCTTAATCTCCATTTTTGTTCTAAACTTTTAGCGCTTTGTGCGTAGAAATAATAGCATTAATGGGAAGACATTTAGGTAGACATTTAATGAAAAAATAACGTTTTCCCTAATCAAAGCTATAACCATGTTTTGGGACTAATCTGATTAATTACTAATACAATGAGAACTATATGTCTAAATGCCTAAACTCACATAAAAGCCATAGTACCATACTTTGTTGATTGAGCCAGCAAGGATTAGTATGGAAACAACAATAATATTACAATATTGAGAATATTATTAATAATTGAAAATACAATGAAAATATCAATATTAAAAGAATAAATAGTACCGAAACTTCTAATTTGATTGGCGCGGCGTTTGAGTCGGTGTAGTCGAGATTTTATCCATCGTAGTTGATGTGAGATTTCTCTTTCGTCGACGCAAAGTTGTTGGAACTGTTCCAATTCTTGTGCGGGACCGTTGTGGCGTCCTTTTCGTTTTGTTAGTAGATGTTTCCTCCTTTGCAATCTTGCGAGTTTGAAATTCAGGCATTGTTGACATGCCTGTAAACGGCCATGTTCCATTATGAAGTTAATTTGAGAGGTTTGAGAAGGAAGTTGATTGGAAGGGTTTTAAGAGTAATTCCCAAAAGTAGTACCAAGTATATTGTTGTTTCGTGGCAGTTGGAAAAGATCATGTGCTATCTTCAATTCCGTT